GATTATATATATATATATATATATATATATATATAGTTAATTTATCAAAATATCTATTAGTGATAAAAAAATTACATTTTATCGGTATTGTTTGACTTAATTTCAAAATACCTAACAAAATACATATGATTATGAATTAGAATGGTTGCAAAGATATAAGATATTGAAGTATATATGTCTAATAAGTATTATCATAAATTTTTTAAGAGAAAATTACACATGTAACCGTTATATTCATTGTTATTATGATAATAATACCTTTTAGTTTTCCGCTCTTCAAAAACTACAATGGTTAAATATTTCGGTTTTTCAAAAACCAAATCTGATAAATTTTGATTTTTGAAAATCCGAATTTATAGTTTCGATTGGCAGGAGTCCAATTCTTTGAGAACCAGGTTCTCACTCATGGCTTCATCAATTGGGTTATACTTATTGCTCTCATCAATGGCGTTGAGGCTTCTGTTGTAACCCTCATTTGATGAAGAATCAGAGCACCCAAAGCCATGGGACAGAGTGATTTGTGTTTCGTAGAGAGAGAGAGAGAGAAGAGGAAGACGAGGAAGCTTTTATCAGAGAAGAGCCCCATGGATTGAGAGTGAAGCCTAAGGTTAAGGGAGTTGTTAATATACTTGGTTGTCATGCCTTCTTTTTCTTGGTGACAAATGCTGCTCCGAACTGTTGCAGGGTCATCTTCATAGCCTGTGAGAGCTATTTTTGGAGAGAGAAACAGAGAGAGGGAGATTGATGGGGATATGGAAAGAAGAGGAAATTGAGAGGTTACAGTACTTGGGGTGGGGGAATGGAAACTTGAAATTCTGAAAGAGCAAAAGAATTCTGCAGAAACCCAAATGTAATGAGAGAGAGAGAGAGATTTTTTTTTTCACATAGGGATAACTGTTGGTTTTTAAGTTCAACAGATAGAGGAATTGGGTTTTTGAAATAATGAGTTCAGGATTATTTGGGTTTTCGAAAAATCGAAAATAAGTGATTTTTTTAAAAAAATAATTATATGAATATAAGTGTAATAACATAAATTTAAAAGTACTTTTATAGTAACGGCAGATATATACATAAATTTTTTATTTTTTAATATATATTTTAATAAATTGGTAGAATTCCCCAATCATCCTTAATAAATAACTGAGCCGACCAGACCCATACTCTTTTTTCTTTCCAAAACAATTTTACGCCATAACTTGATTTAATTATACAAAATGAATGGGATAAAAGGGAGCACCATTTTTTGATATAACCCAGTTCAAATCCTGAGTATCGTGCGGCTTCCTATGCCACGTTGGTTCCATGTAACAGCCAAGTGTTGCAACCATGCACACGTGCACCAAGGTGCTTCCTCGCCTCTTGGTTATATAATAATGCTATTTTCAGGTCATCTCAAACTTCTTGTGTTTGGATTAAAAGGAGGCGCCCGCGCCCACACTTTCTTTGTGTTTCCTTCAAAGAGGTTTTAATAGCAACAGTTTAGGTAATTAAGCTTTGTGTTCTTGGTATAATAAGGTAATTAAGCTTTGCGTTAGTATAATTAAGGTGCATCTTCAGGTAGTATGATTAGGTCTCTTTGGGTGCTCATTAATAGTGTAATTAGGTTACGTAATTTATGTTCAGTAAGAAGAATTGACAGTAGTGAGAATGAGGTATTTGTTTCCTCAGTAGTAGGCCAGTTAATTCTTTTGTGGTGTGCAGAAAGAGGCAGTTCTACGCATAGGAAGGCAACAACATGGCTTCGAGCGACATGCCTCGAAGAACGACGCCCGCCCGATCCCAGGCGAACCGCTGTCGGTTGAATCTCAAGTGTTGTAAAGAGGGGCACAAATGCTGCAGTCGTTGAAGCCCCGCCCGTGAAACAGATCCAACAGCATGTTTGCAGCTTTAGGCTTTACTCTCATGACCTTACTCGGCAGATTCGTAAGCACCACCACTATGTCGCCCGTGTAAACCAAGACTTCTTGCAGGGTGTTGTCTATGACTCGGACTCTTCGGATGCCCGGCTCATTGATTAGTTTGTTATTTCTTTTCTTGGGTGTTTTCAATGATTTTTCTTTTATTTCTTTTGATTGAGAGAGGAGTGTTTCGGTGAATTTCGATGAATGGATGAGGGGTGGTTTTCGGTCATTTGGTGGTGGAAGGGAGGGGTTGACAAAGGGAGCAGCATTTTGGTTATTGTTGATGATGGGCAGTTGGGTACCTTGTGATTTTCACTTGGTTTGGGGTGGGGGTGTATTTGATTCAGAACAAACCACTGACATGGTCCAGAGTAACAGACCCTTAAAGCTTCACCTTCATCCCTTGTCACCCAATCAAACGGTTCGATGGTTAATTATGGGGCGCTTGAGGGAAAGTTTGTTAGGTACAATCAAATATTGAGATTGTTCCAAATAATGGGAGTAGGCAAAATTGGGGCAATAGAGAAGTTATTTTTTGAGGAATCGGGAAACAAATAAGAGCAAAATCTCCCTATTTTTCAGGTGCTTTCTTGAGATGATATTTGCTCTTTAATATAATTATCATTGTGCATGAGATTCTCTGGGTAAATTTATTCTTGGGATGTTTGAGATTATATTTTGCAATTGAAAACCAGTTCTATTTACAGAGAGAGAGAGAGAGAGAGAGAGAGAGAGAGAGAGAGAGAGAGAGAGAGAGAGGGTTTCCCTACCATTATGTGGGGAAAGGTTTCCCTACCATTTGAGAAATGGAACTAAAGAGGGCATTAGGGGGGGAAGGTTCCCCTACCATTTAAAAAAGTGGGATTGAGCTTGATAGTCACTCATGCATTATCTGGTTATAACCATAGCATTATCATCATTATCATCATCATTAGACTTTTCCCAATTATTCAGGTCAGCCACACAAATCTTGGTTCGTCATTTTGTTTTAAGGGTCGTACTTTCGGTGAGATCATCAGTCTTGATGTCTCTTGATGTCTTCTTTTACTACTTTCAACCATATCTTTTTAGGTTTACTCTTTATTCTTTTTGAGCATTCTACTTAGTCGACTCATCTTCTACTTGAGTCGACGACTCACCTGTGACCAACTTACTTAAGTTTACATTCTCTGAATATATTCATTCTGAATTTCATCCGTCACTCATTCATCTCAACATCCTCATCTGAGCTTCACTCATTTCATAAGTATCAACATCCTCATCTGAGCTTAACTCATCTCGTTGTTTTTTAACCACCCAACATTATGCGGTAGCCGTCTTCTAGAACTTTTCATTTAGCTTTATTGGTATTGAGAGATGACATGAAATTCCGGTAACTTCGGTTGCACATCTTTTTATTCCGCCCACCCAAGAGTTTTAATTCTACATGCAACATTTTTATCAATCACTCTATTTTCTTAGATTATAGATTCAAGATATCAAAGGTACACACTTTTTGGTTATTTTTTATCTGTCAATTTTAACTATTTCATAGTCTCTACTTACAATATTATTGAACTTGCATTTCGAAAGAGTTATTCTAGTCATTTATAATCATAGGAGGATTTTGTTTGAAAAATAATTTGTATTCCTACGAAGCAAAAACACTTGACAAAAATGAATGCCCAATGAGCCGTGAATCTTATACTGCAAGTTCAAGTCCATGAAGCTGAGTACGAGTAAAGTCGTCCCTTGTTTTGCATCTTCAGGGGGATCTGGTGCAAGTGAAGTTGCCCTGGAGAAACTTTCCCCATGGCGTTGGTATACCCTTTTAATTGACCTTGCACTCCAGGCATTATGGACATCTTGGAGAAATATCACAAAAAATAAGATGTGCTTTCCAAGTTATTCTAGTCACTTCAAACAATCCTAGGCATTGGGTAATAACTAGTGGCACAGTTATTACAGGGTACCTTAATCAGCTGAGGGTCAAGGGCCCTCAAGTCATTTGAAACAATCTTCGGCAGAGGGAATTAGCCAGCGGCATGCTTATTTTGGTAGGGTACCTTAATCAACTTTATTATGGTAGGGTACCTTAATCAACTAAGGATGTAGGACCTTCAGATGACTTGAGCAATAGGGGTTGCTTTTATTATCGACATTCTCATTCTTCTAAAATGGTGCTCATTGAATTATTATACAGGCGTTGAGTACATTGTATCTGATCGGATCTTCGAAAGTCTGCAGGATGAAGAGAAGAAATTATGGCATTCTCATGCCTATGAGGTATGTATGCATCATTCGAAATGGTTTTTTATATGTAAATTTTTGTATTTTATCGGGGTGAGCAGTACTACTACCAAAGAACAGGAGTGAGCGCTCTTGTTGAATAATGAAGCACCATAGAAGTGCTGTGCTCTCTCTCTTTTTCCAGATTAGAATCTCTATTAACACACACTGCGGAGTAAGAACATTAGTATTGCTTAGATATAACCAGGCAATTATCATATTTCATTGTAGTCATCGCAAGATATGTATCTTAAACGTTTATGCTTTTATTCCTCATTGAGATTTTAATTTATGCAATTTTGCTGGCAGATAAAAGCGCGTTTGCGGGTGAATCCTAGAGTCCTGAGATGTTGCAGAAGGCAGAGCTGAGTGAAATGGCAAAGACTAATGGAAAGTTCTGGTGTACATGGCAAGTGGATAGAGGTGAGAGCTCTGTTTCTCATTGCTTTCCTGTTTTTTTGCCTTCTCTGGTCGTGAGGCCGTTTTCACGTTTGAATTCCTTTGGAGCTATCAGCTTACTTCTCCAATGCTACTTCTATTTAGTTATTTACATTGGGGTTTGTAAGCTATGTTGGGCTAGCATTTTAGTTTTAAACAGTGTACTCGGGCTAGTCTGAGCGAGTGGACTCGGCCGAGCAACTTGGAGGTTGAGTTTCCGACCTGTGTATGTAGCTCGGGGATATTTAAAAAGTTTAAATTTTTTCTAAAGAGCATAAAATTTGTCGGATTGATCTCCCAATTTTTTGTGTATAATCATGTTTTTTTTTATATTGTTGGTGAGTTTTTTTTTTTTTGGGCTAAATCCCTATTTTTTAATTTCACCCATTCTTGAATTTTTAAAATGGCCTACTGTAAATCTGTTTTCTAAATCCATTTTGCTAATGCTTTTTAAGCTTATTTGGGATTTTCATGGGTTTTTTTGTTTTATTTTTCTTTTAATACATTTCCCTTTTTTAAAAAATTGCTGGTCATTTTGCTCAATTTATTGAGTGCTTTTCATCCGTGGCTGAGTTACCCGGAATGGCCCTTGGCCGAGGAGTTTTTCTTGACACTGGTTTTAAGCATTCCAATAAAAATTCGACAACCATCCATACCCGATGCATATACAATAGAGGATGCTTAATTTTCAAAAAAGAAAAAAAAAAATGTTCATTAGGATTTTTGATTTCACTGTACTTCTGTTTTAGCCTCTCTTTGTTTCGCATATTCACTGGTAATCTCACCATTTGAAAACAATTACAACCAAGAAAAACAACATCAAAAGCAAATAACATTCTATTTCTAAACTCACAGTAAAGATTTGACATGGTCAGGACCAAATAATTTTTGTGCATCACCCTCTAAAGTTTGAAGTTGTGAATGTGAGAGAAAATCCAGTCTCTAACTTGTTTAAGGTATGGAAAATTGTTTCATGCGTAGGGGATTGCATTTCTATATTTGCGGTCCTGACATCCATCTTAAAGATGGATGGAAATTGGTGGTCCATCTCAAAAACAATCGAAATTAAAAGTCTAAATGTTTTTTTTTAATAGAATTATTATTTTTAATTTTAAAATTTATTTATTTATTCATATTCATGATCTCCATGATGGAGATTACATGTCCTTAAAAATTAGGTCAGAAAATCCTAATTCTACAAAATCAACAATGGTAAATTTGAAAGTAGGGTTTCCAAAATCTTACCATAGCTTCAGCTTTTTTTATCCTGCTTCTAGTTCATGCAAAACCCTACGCTTTCCCCCCTTGCATAAATCAAACGACGCCTTAACAGCCTCCTCTACTTCTTCTATATACTTTGCAGTTTCCTCCCTATACTTCTCCCGATAATTATCCGCATCCTTCCCATACTTCTTCTTCAAACTCTTGGACTGTTTCTTCAAGAACTCCTCTGCAATTTTTTCTAACTTTCTTTCCTCTTCTTCAGCCCTAAGCTTTTTCTCTGCATTCAATCGTAAACGTCCCTTTCCACCTCTCAATCTCAAGAGGAGGGTACAAGAAGGGAACATGCCATTGATCGATACAGGGATACCAGTTCTCCCTCTGATCAGATTCTTGAGGGATGAACCAGTGACCCTACGCTTTCCCCCCTTGCATAAATCAATCGACGCCTTAACAGCCTCCTCTACTTCTTACTTGGCAGTTTCCTCCCTATACTTCTCCAGATAATTATCCACATCCTTCCCATTCTTCTTCTTCAAACTCTTGGACTGTTTCTTCAAGAACTCCTCTGCAATTTTTTCTTAACCTCCTTTCCTCTTCTTCAGCCTTCCATTCCTAAGCTTTTTTCTCTGCATTCAATCGCAAGCCTCCCTTTCCACCTCTCAATCTCAAGAGGAGGGTACAAGAAGGGAACATGCCATTGATCGATACAGGGATACCAGTTCGGTATCTGATCAGATTCTTGAGGGATGAACCAGTGATTCTAGGGTTTTCGATCTGGATGCATCTGGTGCGGCCATCCAATAACCTGACCAGAATTTGATGAGTAGCTATCAAAGGTGGGGATGAAACCTGCACAAAACCTTGATGAAACCCTAGAACGAAACTGAGGATGAAACCTACAAGGAAACTAGAAATGTGAGAGAGAGCCTGGCAGTGCAGTTAGAAATGTGAGAGAGAGCCTGGCAGTCTGAAGCCCTGACAACGAAGACCGGAAGAGGGGGAAGAAACCAAACCAGTGTTCGCAAAACCGACCGGTTAGATAGGTCAGATCCCTGCCGGTGGGGTGGCGAATTCGGTTAGGGCCGGCTTTATGGCACTCTACATATGATGGAACTGCAAAAAAATTTGCGATCAAAACCCTCCGTTTCGAAATCGAACCAGCGGTATTTAGATCAAACCGGCCGTTTTTTTTTAACCGGTCCGGTTTACCGTTTTAATATTGATGTATTATCGCATCAAATAAAGGTCGTTATTTGATACAAGCCAATTATTTTTCAAAGAACAATATTTTGCAGCTTAATTTTAATTTTATTTTCCATTTTTTTTTTTTCCAGCCAAATATTGATGTCTGAAAGTTAGTCATAGATTATTGAATCAAAAATCGAAAAAGAAAGAGTTCTTGGCGGATTGAAATGGGGGGATTTTTGGAAAATTAGAAATTTCCCCATTCTATCAAATGCTGCTTCAATGCATCATAAATTTTCATAAAAATAGACGGCTTTAATTAATTGTTGAATGATTCAATTTTTTTTTTTATATTCATATATATCGATCGATGTAGAGATGATTGATTAGAAGGTTTTTTTAACATTAAAACAACATTTCATATAGATTTTTGAAGAGCGATTTTACATTTTAAATGTTTTACGGTTGCAACCTTATTAAAACTTTTTCCAAATTTTATATATGGATGCAACCTTTTTATAATGCAGAAACCATCGGATGCAAACAATTTCTTACTCTTGTGACGACGTACGACGTTCATAACATGAGTTTTACAAGTTTTACGCGTACGACGGATGCACAAAACACGAGTTTTACACGTACGACGGTTCATATACGTACAAACACGCCACGTGAAAAACAAACGGTGCCTGCTACCAATGTGTTATTTATGGATGGTGAGATTTCGAAATATTCGATGTGGGATTTTAATATACGCATTATCATATAATATATATTTTTATTGTTACCACCGAAGATAACATTGCTTGGGTTATCTAATTGGTTATGGCTGCTACCCCTCTCTCACGGGCTTTCTAGCTCGAAGACCCCCTGGCGCAGCAGCTCAACAAATAATTTTTACGTCCAAACAAATAAAAAACGTCAATTTTTTATTTTATTTTATTTTATGTCCAAAGAAATAAAAAACGTCAAAAAATAAAAATAAAAATAAATTACATTGACAAAAATAAATAAAATTTATAATAAAAAAAATAAAAGTTCCTTTGGCAAAAAAAATTAGAAAACTAAAATTTTGTTAAAATAAAAATAAAAGTTATATGGACAAAAAATAAAAGTTATTTTGATAAAAAAAAAAAATTTATCTTAACAAAAATAATAAAAGATATGATAAAAAATAAATAAAAGTTATCTTGATAAAAAATAAAAGTTACGAAAAAAAAAATAAAATTTACCTTTGACAAAAAATTAATTTTTTGTCGAAAAAAATAAAAGTTATCTAGACAAAAAAATTAATTTTATGATAAAAAAATAAAAATTACATTGATAAAAAAATAAGTTTTGTCTAAAAATAAAAATAAAAATTACTTCGATAAAAAAATAAAAGTTATGATAAAAAATAAAATTTATCGTGGCAAAAAAAAAGTTATTTGGGTTATTTCTTCTTGTAAAAAAAAAAAAAAAATAACAACAAATATTATTTATTGTCAATATATAAATAAAAATAAGCATGCATTTGAGCTGCATTTATTCTAGAAACTTAAAAAAAATAGATTTTTGAAAATTAGTACGTATTCTAATAATTTTTTTATTGATAACCAAATTTTATATTTTATTTATTAATTTATTTGTATTAGAAATTGTGTAATTTACTTATTCTTTTTTTTTTTACCGTTGTCAAAAATATATTTTAAATTAGATGATATTGTCCTATAAAAAATATATTTTAAATTAGATGATATTATAATATATTTTGGATTTGTTATTATTTGTATAGTAAAATAATTATAAAATGTAATCAAACAATTTCAATTCCAGTATATAAGATTTGGATTAACGTTAATTAGGTTGTAATAATTTTGGTTTTCTTTTAGTGGATTCGATTTCTGTCAATGCTAGATTTTGGTGGTCATTTTTTAATCGATTTAATACATTTTTTATTGTAGTTAATGTATGATTATATACTTCATTCTTGATAATATTATGATTTTTTTTTTTTGTGATGTAAATTTAATGGTTAACATAGGTTTATACAGGGAAAAAACATTTCAATATTCGTATATTGATGAAAAAATGAAAGTTAATAATGTAGTATCTCCATTTCTTATTGAATTCTTAAAAAATGATATTTATAATTAATTTTAATAATTTCTTATTAGTTTTTTTAAGGTTTAATCTTAACGATTCAGTCGATTCCTGATCCGGATCGTCGATTCACCAAATCAAATGGATTTTTGAGGTATTCGATCCGGGGCACCGATCTGTTTTTTAAATTACTGGACTAACCTTTGGGAGCAATTTTACACACGTGACATTTACAATGCCCAGCAAACTTACATAGTTAATATTTAGGGTGTGGTTTGTATGAGGTTGCAACATTAAACAATCCAATTAAGGCACACTTTTAAATTTTATCATATATGTAATTTAGATATAAATATTTTTTAGAATGACTTAGAGAATTTATTTTCATATCTCATTATAAACATTTAAACTCTAAAAATGGTTTAAATCAAGTAAATCTATAAACACATGAAAATTTTAGAAATGGACGGTCCAGATAATGTGTTGCACGATATACTATTTTGTGAATTTAAAATCTTTTTTTCTTTTCATATACATACATCTCAATGTCGAGATGATCAATTAGTGGATTTTCCAACATCCGAACAACCTTAACAACCTTCTATGATGGATTTTTGGGGTGCATCTTTGATTCTACACTTTAAGGTTGCAACATTATATAAACTTTTTCCTAATATTTAAAGCTATTTTATTTATATAATTTATTTACATGGTGTAAATTTAGCTGTATTTTCTTCACACGAAAGTTTAAACATAGTTAATCTACACCATAGTTATTTTATGCCATAATTATTTTAAATGAGCCAATTTTTAATTATTTTACACCATAGCTTATTTATACTATATGGCTTTAATTTATGGGTGAGGTTTGTAGAAGGTTGCGTCCTTGTACTATAGAGGTTAGGTGCACCTATAAAATTTCATTTGGACGTGAAAAATCTTATGATGGCTTCAAAATATCTTTTTATCTTTAGTTAGAAAATTTAAAATTTTAAAAATGATACAAATCAAGTAGATCAATAAACACTTGAAAATCTCGAAAACAGACAGTCTAGATAACGGTTACAAGATATAATATTTTTTGAACGTGGAATTTTTTTTTTTTCCATATCCATTCATCTCAAGTCAAGGGTCAGTTGGAGGGTTCTCTTACGTGGGAGCATATCGATTCATCTCAAGGTCAAGGTCAAGATGGTCAGTTGGAGGGACAGTATGATTTTTGAGATGCACCTTTCCTCCACATTATAAGGTTGCAACTTTATACAAACTTTTTCCTTAATTTATACTATGTAGCTAATTTCAAAGCTATATAAATAAGCTTTTACGGTGTAAAGAAAACTTTGCCAAAAATGAAATTACGATAATGCGACATCTATGTCGGTCCCTTTTTTTTTGTAATAACATTCAAAGGAAATTAAGAAAAGATGAAGGAAAAAAGAGCCCTAAAATATTCAATGACATTTAGACAAGAAAACGACATCTCAATATCTTTGTAGTAAAATATGGAAAGTACATGATGCATCATCCCAAAATTGTTTTAAAACTTAGAAAACACTTGGGCGTTTTAGTGATTTTTTGAACTTTTTTAAGGCCGTAACCTGACAATTCGCCAATTCTCTGATCCAGATCGTCGATCCACTAATTTGACTCGATTTTTGGGATGGCCAAACCACTTTCGATCCGTTTTTTTAACCTTGAATTTGTAAGCGTTAATTTGCATCCCAAGGGCTGGAACTTGGCCTTGCACAGTTTCAATTTATTGCTAAATCTCTCAACCACATCCTAGATTGACTTGCATACTTAGGTATACCGCAGCAAATAACCATAAACCGTTTCATTTGTTGCTCGGAGGCGTCGTAAATTATTAGAATGTCATCTACGTAGTAAATCTAGCAGTCTTTCAGAATGTAGATCGTGGATGGGATACCACTTGGTGAAGAACCGGCGTTAGTCTCTTGGATAGAACTGTGGCCAAAATCTTAGACAAACTCTCATAAAGGCTAATATGTTGAACATCAACAAGGGGGTCAATTGCATCTTTCCCCGGGATTATGGCAATAAGGGTGGAAACTTGGTTACACGTGAAAATATGGAAATGGACGGTCTCGATAAAAGATGTTGCAAGTTTGGGATTTAAAATGTTTTTTTCTTTTCATATTCATACATCTCAATGTTAAGATTATCAATTAAAGGGTTTTCTAATATTAAAATCGTTTATGATAGATTTTTGAAGTGCATTTTAATTCTACATTTTAAGGTTGCACTGTTGTATAAACATTTCCTTTTCGATAAGTGTGTGTAAAGAATTATTAGGCTAGTTCCAAGAGAATAGGAGGGGCTCCGGAGTGGGGCACCTTAGTATTCGGAAGAATTGGGACATGGCCTGAAGTTTAGTGAAGGCTTCACTATAAGACCCTAGGATTGGGTTTCCCACGTTGTCAATGATACGACAATGCGATCTTAACTTAGACATAGTAAGGTAGCCAAGCCACAATGTTCAACCTACTAGCCTTCCTATATATGCATTAAAAGGACAAAGGGAAGGACCAAAAGACATGGTGATGACTTATGGTCTGAAAAACTGTGGGACAAGATTCGTGTAGACGACTTCAAATAATTGAGATTGAGATAAAGTTCAGATGATAATGATGTGTAGTTTGTGTTGCCATAGTTGGCCCTACAAAAGGCGCACATTTGACTGCCTGCCTATGAGTAGTTTTAAGATCTCAATTACTAGCCATGATCTCAAATATATCCCTCTCAACGGCTCCCGGTTCGCATATTCTTGAGCCAAGCCATGATTTCCACTCCATTTGCTCTTCCTGCATATGCATATGCATTAACATCGTAGTTGATCTTGCATTCCAAATCGTCTCAACTCTTCTTTTACTTTCCCTTTGTCCTTCCTTCATTTTTCTTTTATAGAACTTGCTCTATCATCTACCTTGTATTTCTTGTTTTCAACCTAATCACCTGCTTCTTTGATCTCTTTTCTTCTTCAGTGTCGAAGCTGGGATCCCTTGCGTATAGAGGGAATGATTTGCAGAGGCTGCACTTCAAACTGCTCCACCAGTGGGAGGCCCGACCCAATCCCCAAATCCTTCCCCATAGTATATATTGCTTCACCGAGGTCAGGATACGGGAATCGCAAAAGATCCAAAGTAACGCAGAAATTGCATTCATCTCATGTCACCTTTATAAGCGATAATGGAATCAAGGCTACTATGTGGAGGTCCAAGTCGCCAGCTGATGAAGATAAACAATTCGACATGGATGCAGGCGCCACTTCACTTTCGGTTTTCCGTAAATTGGTCCTTTACAAACACAACTGCTCCTCGTCAAAGGGAATTTCAATTTTTAAGGCCTTGTTTGAATAAAAATAGCAACCTAAAATATGGGCTTAGAGCACGGATTTCAAGCACCCGCTGAATTGCAAAACATGCTAGCAAATGAGGGTTCATTATCCACAATAGACACAATGGTGGTCTTACAAGTATCAAGGCTTAAGTGATCATGGCTCTGTTCCATGAAGGTCAAAATGGTAGGCAAGGGGGTTTTGGTGAGAAATTTAGGTGGGGGTGAGAGAGAGAGAGAGAGAGGGAGAGAGCAAATTTTAGAATATATTTTGGGAACAATCGACAATGCAAGTTTAAACTTGCCACAAACTTAATTTGTAATAAAAGTATACAAAGAGATTATATACTTTTAATACAAGGTCACAATTACTCGTCTATTGGATTTCAAATTGGGTGGTTCAAATCTGATGGTTGCGTCACTGGCTAAACTTAAAACTTGAAAAAAAAAAATCTCAAGCTTTACGTCATATCCCAAGTCAAGTCATCCAATGGCTATTAACAATTGTTAAGATAAATGGTCTTATATTATACAATCCTAGATTATCCTAGATTCGCATAATGGGAACACCCTGCACAACACTTCAAAGAGAAAGAAAGAAGAATCCATTGGTCATCATGAACGTAAATCAAGAAATGGAATGCAGGAATGAAAATCACCAGATCGCTTGCTTTGAGACATTTTAGTAACCGTGCCAGCTATGAGGGTGTTTATTTTTCTCTTAAAGCATGGGATATATATAGCAGCATGTTTCTCAACTACTATATCATGACCACGACATGAAGCATTGTGGAATTTACATCGCTTCAGTAGTATATTGATCCTATCCCATAGATTCTGAGCAACTCATTTTCTTTGAGGGCATATTTGTCAATAGTGAACTGAAATAGACCATGGTATGATATTATTATGCTGTCATCAGTTCAAGTTGAAGAAGGGTATACAAATTTTTATTTAGCAGTGTCAAACCATTTAATTTTCTGATTTAGCATTGTGTCAACCATTTGCTTACCACCAAAATACAGGAGTGTGGGTGTGTTGCTGACTTTCTGCACGAAATTTTTGGCAGTGCTACATTCCATCCCATCAATATCAGTGTACTTCAAATACTAACATGACAAATATATGCCTCCAGTAGTGAAGCAAGGTATTTAATCACTAGGGGTGAATCAGATGGAAATCGAGGTTCTTTAGACCGAGCAACATTCTTCTGCCATATTACTTAAAAAGGAATCCTGCATGAAACTTTATGTGGTCATCAATGAAGGTCGAAATGAAGAAGTAAGAGTGGTCATAGCCTGGCTGCATTCTCAACACAATCTTGGTATTCACACTCTTACAAGCCTCTTCAAACTTGTGAGGCAGCAGTTGATCATTTAGAAACTTGTCCTCATCACCCTGCATTAGAAAAATGCAGTAATTTGAAGCAACCAGATCAGAGACAAATTCGGATAATTTGGACATGTATTCGTTTTTCTTTGTTAACCATCCAAAGCATACAAATGAGAGAAATTTTCAATGGAGCAATCCTGAACTGCCCAAGCCTTGAATATAAGATATCCGAAAAAAAAAATTCTTAAGTTACATATACTTCTCCAATAACAGTAGCAATTTGCACGCTTCCGATATAGGGAGATCTTTCTTACAAATTATATGGAATGTCTCCCGAGGCAGTAGCTCAACATAAGAAGAAGAATACACGATAGGATGAAACTAAAAGTCATTCTTTTCTTTTCTCGTCATGAAGAAGGGGCTAAGGTATTATGTGCATACTCAACTTCCCGCCTAAATAACTACAAGGCCAACATTCCTTCCCGACTGTATTGCACAACCTGAAGCACATCAGGTCGGGATCATGGAGACAATGTGTCCCCTTGATCTTTTCAATTTTTAGAAGCTTAATATGGATACACACAAAAAAAAAAAAAAAACATATTAAAATTTGTGCAGGAGTGCTTCTGTAATACCAATTTAGGTACTTTTGAGATTGTGTGATTTTTTTCATAGGTTGGTCCCTAGGTTGAGTAGGTTATATACCTAAAATTTCAGGTCCTAAAATTGCTCAGAGTAGTGTTTTACCATAGGGAGAAAATGTACAATTTGATGCCACTGGAGTATATAAGGTTGTTGTAACGTATATATTTACCTAATTTCAGACAAAATGAAAGCAACATATAGCCAATATGCATAAGACTGCACTGTTCCATTTCCCAATAACTACAATATAATAACACAAGAATATGCCCAATAATATGATTATTCTACCAGAAATCATGGTCCACACTGTCTCAAATTCTAAATATATCCACCTTTCCCAAAGAAAAAGTCAAGTGCATTACCTGATCAATTAAGATCGGGGTTGAAATGCCACTGCACTTCTTAATCAGACAAGTTGCATCATATTCCTGCATCAACATTGGTTGGCATCAATATACTGAAGAGATTCCAGACAAACGATCTTCCCCAAGAAGCCAAAAGCAAATAGGTTAAACAGAAAGGCCTACCTCCCAGTGACCTTTGTCACTGCCCAAGTAGTTCGAGAAAGCCTTCTGACCCCAAGCACAATTTACAGGATTTGCAATTGGTGCAAAGGCCGATACTGACTAAAAAGACATATAACAAGCATCTTAATTTAATCTTAGTGTTGTTAGTCCAATGGTCATTTTTTCATCATGCCACTATATAACTACAGGATCCATGGTGTATGCTGATTAAATACAGTTTTTAATTCAGGCCGATAGCAGAACCAAGATGAATACCTTATACCGTTGAGGATTTTTCAGGTAGATTGTCAAAGCACCATGACCCCCCATAGAATGCCCAAATATGGATGCACATGATGTATCCAGCTGTTGAAAATTTGCACTCAAAACCTTGGGAAGTTCATCAACAATATAGTCATACATGCGCCAGTTCTTCCACTTCTCCTGAGTAGCATTCAAGTAAAATCCAGCACCTGATACATGGATGACCATATAAAGATTTTAAAAAAGGAAATATTTTATTTGTTGAAACAGAGTAAATATCTTTATTTTTTGAAACAGAGTGACCATAAAAAGATCGGATATTCACAAATTGGTAGCTTCATCATAAATCTTTACAGTACATCAAATTCCTCTTAGTTGCTTACAGTTACATATTTAATTCTCTTCAAATGTTTTTTTTTTTTTGGAGAGAGTAAAATTTCTCTTCAAATGTTAGAAGAGTAACATACCTACACCAAAATCCCAGCTTTCTGACTCCCCTTCTATATTTAGACCTCCTGCTCACAAATTGCAGAAAGTCAAGCCTCATACAATCTAAAGAACAATGAGAGCATCTAACTTTGTAAAAAACATTAAGATGTGTAAAAAACATTAAGATGACACCTGTTGGTTTTTCTAAATGGAAAATGGCCAGTAAATAGATGACATAGAAGCGGATATCATATCAAAAGCACGAGATTTAGTTACCAAATATGATCAAGCTTCAAGAAAATATGAAATGGGGAACTTTATAGAGTAAAATGGAAAAAGAAGAATTGTTGTATGGATGCTGACAAACTGATCAACTTTTATAATAGTAATAATAATAACCATATCAAAAGCATGAGATTAGGTGACCAAATATAATCAAGCTTCAAGAAAATATGAAATGGGGAAACTTCTATAAAGTAAAATGGATAAAAAAGAAAAGAATCGTTGTATGGATGATGATGATGTGTTGCGAAGATGAAGAGAACAACATCCACATCCTCTGTCCTGTGGCACAAATATGGGGGCCCCTCCAACTATTCAAGTGCCAATGGGTCACCCCTAATTCAGTTCCTATGCTGTTTTGCTTCCTTCACCCCTTCCCCTGGCCCAAAGCTAGTATTTCTCTTTGGAAGAGCCTCCGTTGCTGCTGCCCTTTGGACCCTTTGGATAGAGCGCAACAGCAAAAAGTCAGCCTTCTCCTACTGAATCTCCTTGCGGCCTTGGGATGTGGATTATCGTAAAAGGGGTCATCAAAGGATGGATAGATTGGATCATGGGAACTTTCTGGACTAGTCAAAGGACTGTCAGGTGCATCACTCAACCTAATCCATTGATGGTGGTCTTTCTCAAAGCATGCCTGGTTTTTTTTTCTTTTGGCTAGATAAAGCACGATAATTTTTATGATAATTTCAAAATATTTTAATTTCTTATTTCAAGGAAAAATATACAAGATTCCATGAGTCTCACATACAAAGCCTCAAAGGAAGTATAAATCCTTCTTCAAACAAGTATAATTGGCATATGTGGCTAAATATTCAAGAGGATTTAACAAAAAGATTTGTGGTCAATGAGTTTTATCGAAGTCCGTATCTTGTTGGAGAAAGAAAACACAAGTAGATATTTTTGCCCATGCACACAGATACTCTTATTTTTATATATTAAAGTCCCTCTAACCTACTTGTGCTCCTTCATACCCTTAAGAATTCCATTCTTCACCTTGTTCTCATATAGAGGCTAATGAGGAGCAATTTACCTTCTAATGCTCAAGAGAACCATAGGTACGAAGTTTGATTTGATATAACAATTTGCTTCTGATAGACCTTTACCTTTCCAAATGAAAAGGTAACATTATCCACTAAGTCCTTTAGTGCAAAAGCATGCAATTCCTCAGTCATACAATCCTGGGATCACTGTTTTTATGTTGCTTGCTTATGGAAGACAGTTTCTAAAAAGGAAGCAAGTGAAACTAACAAAAGCACAATGCCAATGAGAAAATTTAGAAAAATAAAGAAACCTTTGAAAGGAAGATCTCAATGAGTGTATAACTAATCCCTTGGAATAGAACCTCGTAAGGTGGAGACTGATATAGGAAATTTTGCTTTCCTTCAAGCAAACAAAGCTTTGTTGGCCACTAGTCTGAGAAAAGCTCAGAAGAAAAAATGATCAAAGTTTGGGGCATCTTTATGACTCTTTTTGTAGTGAATTAGTTGACTTCATTTATTGATCCTTAAATTAGTCAACTTCATTTGTTGACCTGAACTTAATTCACACAGCCTCCCTCAATCCAGTTTCCGCTTTTTTCCCTTTCTATTTATTCCAGATAATACGGCTGAAAAACCTATAGACGACAAAAAAACCTCGACTTCGTTTGTTGACCTGGACTTACTTCACACAGCCACCCTCAAATCCAGTTTCCGTTTTTTTCTTCTCTCTTTTTTCCCTTTCTATTTATTCCAGATAATACGGCTGAAAAGCCTATAGATGACAAAAAAATCAGAAGCTAATTTATACACCCTCCAAATCCAGCTTTTTTTTTTCTCTATCTTGGAGTTTTCTTTTCTTGTGAAGGTATGAAAGTTAGATTTCAAATTGCTTCTGAACTCACATACTGAAAAGTTCAGCTCGAGAAACATCTTCTAACTTTTACTTTTTTAGTTCATCTTGAGTGACTTCTGCAACAATGAATTCCTTTGTTCGGATTCAGAATTAAGGGGGTCAAGGACTTAAGGAGCTCAACAAGCACCACTTTAGTGAGTGTTTTAGTGAAATTTTGACACTAGTAGAAACTTCACTGGAAGCCTATCTTGAGAAAGACTAAAGAACCCTTCATATAATATCACTATGGTTAAGTCAGTCACACATCTGTGCCTGACAAGGATCGTATGCGGTGCATTAAATATATGCATGATGAGGATGGTATGTCGTGCATTAAAATATAGCTCTGCATTAAAATATAGCTCTGCCTACTGACTAAAGATAGTCCTAGTGGTAACATCTCTTTAAACCCTCCATTAGTCTTTGTCAATTGATGACAACCCCTTTCCTTATATACATCTGGATCACTATGGTGAATCCTTTTATCCCCCCTTACTCCATTGTTATGTTCCGCCGAAATATATTAGAGTCCCTATCCCATCAAGATGATCCGGCAGATGGGAAAGGTTCCCTTTCCTTTAGTCTAAAACCTCAAGGATATGCTATTAAATCCTAAAACTCCTTTGGTAATATTTCATACACCCATGACCGCTCAAGAGATAAGTCACAAGGCCTAAATGGAAGCAAGATTATATGCTTCGGAAGAAATTATATCAAAGGTCTCAACCTTACGAAAGCTCCTGTGAAAAATACAATAAACACTTCCACTTCAAGGTTTCTATAAACATATGAGTTACAAGCTTACATGGTCGACATGATGGCAAGAAAGTCCCACTTCAAACTTATCTGGATGACATGTGGCCCTATGAGGAGCAACGTTTGTCGATGAACAAACACATGTCAACACATGATCCCCATAAAGTTAGTAGACTCAAATACCATGATGAGCACTATGACATGACTATCAGGCATGACAGTATAACTGCCTATTTATATCAATAAAAGACTGAGGTCCAAGTCGAAACATAGAGGGCATGTATCGGAGCAGACGGCATAATAGAGATAAGAATGTGGTGAGTTGCACATAACCAGAAGGCAATATCTCCAAAGTTCCCTACCAAGATTCTAGAGATCAATAGGAACATAGTGGAAGGCCCTTTGTATGCGAAGAAAGTATACTGTGACCCATACTATATTTTCCTCTTCTGAGTTGTTATCTGTAACCAATTAAACAAAGGTGCTTTGCCCCTGCATTTGTCAAGGTGTCCACGGATGCCCTGGAACCAATTTACCCAGAATAAGAAAAAGCCCTGTCCAAGGTTAATTACCTGGCAGAGTGGCGTGTTTGAGCATTTTGTGAGTCACATTTGCCTATTCATTTACCCGGCTCCGGAAGCCCAACAGCAAGTACTTTGAATTTTTGCGGAGTTCAATACATTGAAGTAATTAGATTGAAGGCAGATTTCATCATTTTTTATCTATTAGATAAGAAGTTCTCAAGGTTCTAGATGAAATGGAGGGAGATGTTACTAAATGCAAATTCAAAGCTCTACTTGGAGTTTGAGCTGTTCCAATGAATATGTGAACCAGAGTTCGTTCATACTTTAATGGAAGGAGAGTTTACTTCTAAAGTTACCTCTTCAAAAGAGCAATTATATTGACTAAAGAGTATAACTTTACACAGAAATCAATTGTCCAACCAAAAAAAATCACTTTACTTTCTATATGACTTGCTTGTGATCATACGAAATGCATTATTTTTTTCGACAACTTCATCAAGTGAATGTATGGCAAAACTATTCATGGTTCTCCATAAAGAATGGCAGTGTTCAACGATGTTAAGAGCACAAGATATCATTCAATTGTGCATGACAATGATTGAAGAACAAAAATGTTAAACACAATAAATGACTTTTAAAAAATGATGTAATTGGTAATAGAACAGGCAGCCAGCTCTAACATAAACGTTTAACATTTGCAATCAAATATACATGATTCTAGTCATGAAAAGATCCAGATTTACTTACTTGGAGAAGTATCAGGAGCAACCAATGCAACGCCTTCATTGGATAAAGCACGTTGGGCTCCGGATTTCATAATGAAATTCTCATCTGAGCAAGTAAGGCCGGAAAGCCAGTATAGAACCTATCACAACTTGAGCACAGAAATAATGAGAATCTAAAAGGATAATAATTTATGGAAGGCATGATCCATAAAGATATCAGCACTATAATACGAATTTAATATAACATCCCATCCTAATAGAAGAGAACATATTATCAATTATCAATGAGAAATATCAATTCCACTCACTGACCGCAAGGAACAATATAAAAGACTTATAAAATTCTGCATCCTTGAAAACAAGAATAACTACAAAGGAAGCATGAGAAAACAAGAATAACTACAAAAGAAGAATGAATGATAAATAATAACGTTACGTTTTATGAAGCTCTCAATTTGAACAATTCCTCAATAATATTTCACCCTGAACTTTGTCATCATCGTAGCATACCTGCATCAATGCTTCTCTATGTGAAGTTGTAGATCTTGTAAGGCCAATTCCTTTGCTAGAAATAGAAAATTGACCAAAGATTTAGAAGCATGAAAAAAACTAAAGCAATTGCTTGGACAGCTAAAAAATAATTATAAAATATGAAGGATGAAGAAAATGCAATCCTGAAAAGGCTAAGTGCATGACCGAAATGTCATTCGCCAGTCATAATAAGTTATTATATCCAAAGGGATATTTTGAAAATAAGACCATTTGAATTTTAAATGGTTAAAACAATGGATGGCCAATCCATATACAATGGCAAATGATTAGAGACAACATTCTTTAACTTCCTAAATTAAAAAAGTCAAATCTGACTCATGTATCAGACAATAAAAATGGCACGCAGCAATGTCACATTGCAGTGAATCATAATTCTTCTATTGTTTCTATCAAGATTTTATAATTCAGCAATCCAGATCGGGAATCGTCAACACCATTATGGATCCCACCCCTAAACCGGCCGGATCTCTGATAAACCGGCCGGTTCTGTCAATCCATAACTGGTTCAAATCTTGAAGAAAAGTTTATTTTTAAAATTAGGGCACTTTCAGAAATTTTCTTAAAATGGGGGGGAACAGCCCACACCATCTGTTATACCTTCTTACGGGCCCCAAGTACACCTCATTACACAATCTCTTTTCAATACTTTTACGTGGCCCCACATACACCTCACTCATGTGAATAACATCTCCTCACGTGGTACCATTGAATAAGCAACCCAAGCTTTGACGATGCTAAATCCCCGATGTGGGACTATCTCTCTCTTGACGATGCTTTTACGCAAGCTTCATAGTTGGGGCTCTCTCTCTCTCAACTTTGGGAAAAATATACTATATGTTTGGTAATAGACTAATAGCTGAAACCAGTGGTTTAAAAAACGGATCGGTGACCCAGATCGGGCACCCCAAAAACCCATCCGGATCGGTGGATCGGCGATCCGGGTCGAGAATCAGCCGAATCGGTTGGATTAAGCTGTAAAAAAAATATAAAAAAATTATTAAAATTTATTATAAATGTTGTTTTTTAGGAATCCAATAAGAAATCGGGGTACTGTATTATTAATTTTCATTTTTTTCATCAATATGTGAATATTGAGATATTTTTTCTCTGTATGAACTTATTTTAACCATTAAATTACATCACACAAAATAAAAATCATAGAACTATCATGGATGAAGTATATAATCATACATGGACTACAATAAAGAATGATTTTTTTATAAGAACATTTTAGTGTTTTTTGATAAAAACCTTTTATTTTTTTACAAGAAATGTTTGTTGTATTACATTTTTTTTTGTTTTTAGCAAGAACCTTTGTTTTTGAAAAAAAATACTTGTTGTATTATTTTTTTTTTGTAAGAACTTTTTTTTTTTACAATAACTTTTTATTACGTTTTATTTTTTTGACAAAAACCTTTTATTTTTTTGACAAAAAAAAGAAATTTGACAAGAAAAATAATTGATAAGAACCTTTCATTTTTTTTATAAGAAAATTTTTATTTTATTGATAAGAAAAAAATTTGACAAAAAGCAAAATTGATAAAAAGACCTTTCATTTTTTTGATAAGAAAAAATTTTGACAAAAAGCAAAATTGATAAAAAAAACCTTTCATTTTTTTCTGATGACAAAAATACTTGTGGTATTATTATTTTTTTATAAGAACTTTTTTTTTTTGACAATAACTTTTTATTAGTTTTTTTTTTTTTGACAAAAACTTTTTATTTTATTGACAAAAAAAAAGAAAA